CTCTCTCTCTCTCTCTCTTCCTGAAGAATCCCTTTGATCCAGCGATTTATGACGACTGACTCCTCTGCTACGACTCTGTACAGAGAGAGATTTGTTCGTTTGCTGCTCTTAATACGATAAAAGATGTTTTGTCGATTTTGTTTACTTGGAAATTGAGCGAAGTCCCCGAGGAGCATTCAGAGTAATTCAAAGCTGTCTTCTAATGATCACAGATGATCCGTGAGCCAGAGAGGGTGGAAGATGAGGAGAGAGAGAGAGGGGAAGAGGGGGAAGATGGAGACATAAAAAAAACAGAAATTAATGGAGGGAGACAAACCGAAAACGAGATGGGAAGAAGAACACAAGGAAACATGTTTCCACTAACGGAGAGAGATGCAGGAGGGATGAGTGGAGAGCTACAAATGGAGGGACAAGACACCAGAAACAGACACACACAGACTGAAGATGTACATACAGAGCGGTCCTCAGTCTTGGTTTTGTCGTGTTTCACCAAACAAAGACTGAAACTGTTTCCCATATGATCAGGTTACACACACACACACACTTTTACAGTACTTATGTATGTAATATAATAATGCTTTGTCTTTATCATCTTTGGATTAACAACAGACACCATATCTGTGCTGGTTTTCATGTTGGATAAGTTCCATTATTTGAGATCGGTTTTAAAAAAGGAACGTTTTAGTAATTACACTATCAGATGTCTTTGGCAACCCCTGTAATGGTTTTGCAGTAATCATGAGCAGAATGTGCTTCGTGCGCATTATTCTTTTGTCTAGAAATGTTCACTTCACTTCAGAGAATTGTGTTACTGGTCTGCCATGCATTTTAAATGATTCTCTGGTTTGAAAATTGATTTATGCAGGTAGGTTTTCAGCATTGTTTCCAAGGAGTAAAAAGAATATCTTCATACCACAGAGCTTAAAGTGCGGCTGTCGGACACATCACACATTTAGCATTTAGAGTCGGTAGTTGTGTTAGGGAACCAAACACGATTAGAAAATATTAAAAGTACGGCTGCCCACAAGGGAAATGATTCATACGAAGGTAAATGCAACTCTAAAGCAGAGTCAAACTTAATAAGGATTCTGCGTCTGTGAAGTGAAGTTCACACGTGGTGTCACCTGAGACTGTGAGACAACTATTGAACTGTATTACCACTTGTTGTTGCACCAAAATATGCCAATAAAATATAAAATCTCAAAAACTTTAGTAAATCGGAAAGCCAAGATGACGATGATGATAAGGTGAACAGAATACTAATATTAATTAGTTTGTATGGTGAGTTTCCATCCATCTAAACCTGAATGGATGGGAAATGGGAATGTGGAGTGATGAGGAGAATAACCTTCCTCACATTAAAAACATACATTTCAAATTTCCATCATGTTTTTCAAATTGTTTTCCATCAATTTACTGGTGGTCTTTTAAGTCAACTTGCATCCTCTTCTTCTGTAACGATTTATTGGCACCAGATTGGAGAATTTGTGCCATCAACTGTTTATCTCGACAAACCAACTTCAATATTTGCATAACAGCAAAGGATAGAAACACACATACATTTGCATTTTCTTCTGTCCAT